AGGCTGAGGCAGGAGGATCACCATGAGTTCAAGGCTAGCCTAGAGTACAGAGTGAGACCCTGTCTCAAAAAACAAAACCACAAGCCCTAACCCATAGACCGTGAGGAGATGCCCATCTGGTCCTCAAAGCAACGCTGTGGCCCTGGACCGCCTACTCCTGGTGACAGGGAGCCACAGCCCTGAAAACTCAGCTCTACAACAAAAGGCCTCTGCTGGGGCCCACGGCTCAGGAGGGATCTCTCTCTGCAGAAAGGGGACAGTGCAGGAGGCCACCCAAGCCCACCTCAGCCCACCTGCCTGGGTGTTAGCGACAGTCCCTGTATTCCTTAAAGTCTGTCCACAAGGCTGGGCTACGTCCCACAGTGGCCATCGGGGTCCCAATGGGGCCCACGGCCTGGAGGGCAGAGAATCATTTCCTTTCAGCTTTAAACTACTGGCACTGGACAAACTGGCTCCCACCGACCTCAACCACCAGGATCTCATTCTAGGATCCCACAGGACCACAGAGTCTAGCTAGGGATCTAGCTCGGTGGTTCCATCCACTGCCTGCCTGGAAAGCACAAGCTCCAGAGTTTGATCCCTGGTATCAAAAAAAAAAAAAAAAAGACCACAGAGTCTTCCTGCTCCTCCCTCTTCTCCCCATCCACGCCGCTCCCCATGGCCAGAGCAATCTCCATGAAATGTAAGCGAGGCTGCACCCCTCTCCTGCTCAAAGCCCTCCTTAGCTTCTATCACAGATCAGCATTCGAACTTGGTGCAGGGCCCCATGGCCCACTGGAGCACCTGCCCCTGTTGACCTCGGCAACCATGTCCCCCACAGACGCCATCATTCCCACTGCTCAGACTACACTGGCTTTCTGTTCTTCAAATGCAGCGAGCTTATTCCTACCTCAGGGCCTTTGCACTTGCTCTTCCTGCCATCTCAAACACTCTTCCCCCAGACATACACAGTGAGGACTCAACTTGTATCACCAGGGTTGGGTTGGTTAACAGGGTCTTCAAGGGTGGCCATTCTTGCTGTGACAATTGCACATGGAGGTTGATATTTCCAGGTGTTTTCAAATGCATGGCCTTAGTTACTAACTCCCAAGAAGGTCTCCTAAGTTCATTTTACAGATGAGTAAACTGAGACCTGGAGATGATAAACACTTCACTTATCAGGACTGAGACGGGAACCCAGGACACCAAGTGGATCTGACTGTCATTCATGATGTCCTAGGACCAGATGGAAAAAGAGGAGAGATTACAAAGTTATGGAGAAGGCACGTGGCTGAACTGCCTGCCCCAAGGGTCAACCAGGGAAAGGTCTCTAGCGAAGGGCCACACATCCCACTCACAACCTTGTCACATGTGTGGACCATGACTGCAGCTGACCCAGGCCAGGAAGAGGAACCGAGGTTCCAACAAGGCCTGGTCTCCATCAACCCTAACAAAAGATGATCCCACAAATGACACAACGGGGGTGAATGCGAAAACATGTTCAGCTCCAAAAGCTCATCCCAGGGTCTGAGCTGGGAGGATCCCATCTGGACAGGAAGTCATGCACGAAAGACAGAGGGGTCCCCAGACTCAATATGAAGTGGCAAAAGTCTGCCAAAAAGGTCGGTGGACTCTTGCTGTAAACTGAGGAGCGTCCAATTCTCAGTGGCAATGCATCAAGTGCACAGCCCAGAGCGGAGGAGCAAGATGGTGCTGTTCCCACCCGGTGAGCCCCTGGACCCAGCCCTGAGGCTTTCTCTGGACTGGAGAAGCTGGTGGTGTGGGGCCCATGCTCTGGGCAGAATGCCTAGTTGGAAAGGGGACAGGAAACAACGACATAAAGAGCCCCACTGTCCCCTGCACCCCACAAGGACACTGCAAGAGGGAACCACCGCACCATGGGTCTATGAAGAACCGGCCACCCTGGACCCTGAGTCTGCTGTCGCCTTGATCTTGGCCTTCCCATCCCCTAGAACCGTGAGATGAAGTGCTGGTGTTTCTAGGCTGCCCGCGTCATGGGCTTTTTGTTACGGCAGTGAGGACAGACTGAGGCTGTGTCCAACACACACTCCTTGAGCAAAGGGAAACAGAGGCCCCTAGCAAGCTGCCCTCAGGGAACCATCCTGAATATCTGGAGATGAATCCTCTTCCCACCTGGTGGGAAAATGTTAAACTGCAGCTGGGGTTGCTCAAAACTAGATGGAGCAGGAACTGGTGGGTGTGGTGACCGGTGTGACACCCTAAGATTCCATGGTTCCCATCCCCACCTTCCCAAGGGCTCTTCAGCCCCAGAACAGCTACCTGGTGAGGGAGGAGCAGCAACTGGCACCCCCACTTTCCTAGAGGAGACGGAGGGGGCTCGTGGACCTCCCTCTCCCGGTGACAGTGCGTCTGGGACGCTTCCTTCCAGGCCATACGGCCTTCCCAGGGAGTGCAGAAGGTCCCGGCAGGGCTTGATGCAAATAATGCTTGATTTCCTGGGCTACAATTACATCTGGAGTCAATTTTCATAAAACGTAGTGACAGATTTAGGTGCTGGGAAGATGGGGCTTTCTCAGAAGGCATCAAAATGACCCAAATGGTTAAAATCAGCTGAAACCTGGCAGCCAGGGCTGCGAGAGCAGCCACCACTCACCTGGCCCCCTGCTCACCGGAGGACTCCCTCCGGGCCAAGATTCTGGGCCCCAGAGGCGATTTACCCCCAAGGGCAAGGAGCAGCAGGTGAGAGGCAGGAAGTGACTGCTGTCTACTGGTAAGGGTGGCTGCCACCCTCTCAGGAAGGGGGCCAGCCTCTGTGACCTCCAGGGAGCCCCCGGCTAGGCCATCGTGACCCCCGGCTCAGGCAGCTGAGACCCCTCGGTGGACCCTGCCCGTGTCTCCCAGCCCCAGCCCTGCACCAGCCACACTCAGCTGCCCGAAGGCCTCGTTGGGCGCCTCTGTGCCTGTGTCCGGCTGCCCTGCTCGCTGCTTGGCACCTGGGAGGACGGTGCAGTGACCCTGAGGTCAGAGGATGGGAAGCGAGGGACTGGCTGGGACTCGCTGTATCCCCCATGGAGGCCCCAGCCCCTCTCCAGTGTCCTCCTGGGGGTCCCGCAAATCACCCCTCATACATCCCCAGCCTGGGCCAGTCACAGCTCCCACAACTGCCACCCGTGAGTTACCAGCCTCCTGGTTTCCTTAGACCCTGCTGCTGTCATTCACACCATGAATGTCCCCTACAGGTGCATGAGCTAAAGGCCTGGTCCTCAGGGTGCCGAGGTGGTGGGGCCCAGGGAGTTAGGTCCCTGGAAGTGACCTTGGACGGCACGGTGGGACACCAGTCTGGTCTTTCTCTTGGTACCTGATGTGAGTAGTTTTGATCCCACCACAGCTTGGAGCTATGGAGCTGGATGACCATGGACCAGGACCTCCGACACTGCAGCCAAAACAAACCTTTCCTCTCTGCATGTCCGTGTCTCGGGTATTTTGTTGCAGTGACAGGAAGCTGACTGACACTCTCCCACCCCTTTATTCCAACCCTGACTGCACAGGACGTGGGTCCCCTGCTCCTCCAGGCCTCTCCCTTCGAATGCCACCACTGTCACTAGTGCTCCTCACCGAGGTCCTCCAAGTGCACACCAATGGCCCTGCACCCGGCCTCTGACTCCACACCCCAAGGCCAGTTCTCCCTCTCTGTTGGACCAGGAGGCTGAGGCAGAGACATCCACAGTCCCTTCCCACCCACTGCTCCTCCGCTCCACTCCACACACCCACAAGCCAGCTTCTGCTGAGAGTCAAATGCCAATGAAAAAACCCCAACAACCTGTCAGAACAGTTTACCCAAGTGCAGCATCCTGGCTGTAACTCCAGTTCTTCAAACTCCCATCGCCTTCCGGCCAGACTCCGCCTCTCTGCGATTCCTCTCAGGATCTCTCAGCATCCACATGGGTCTCCCCGACTCTCCCTCTCAGCGACTGTCTTCTCTCCACCCATCTCCCTCTTTTCCCCAGCACCCAGCTGCACAGAAGGATGCACCCAGGGGCTCCAGGGGACATCCAGGCCACCTGTCTTCTCTGGTCCACCTGGGGGCGTGTGTGGTCAGAGCTCGGTCAAGGCTAGACCCCGCACCCCCAGAAGAGTGGACGCACAGAACCGAAGGCAGCCAAGTCTCAGTTACAGAATGTAATGAACGGTTCACCGCCCTTCCTGATGCCCTCCCTGACTCCCTTCATGAATCACGAGCACATTAGCACATTCCAGGTTCCTGGGAAGCTCGGCCAAAGGCCTCAGCAGTAATTAGCTCACTTAAGTAGGCTAAACGTTTCCTAGCAATCCAGTTTATGCTTCAGCAGGCTTAACATGGGGAACAGAGAACAATGTCATTTCAGCCCAGACCCTCTGGAATATTTCCTGCGGCTTTCCCAGTGCAAATTCACCCCTTCCAGCCATTTTCTCCCTCCAAGTCTGGTGTGGGACAGAGCAGGGCTGACAAGGTCCCAGCCAAGTCTCCAACTGGAGCCCTAGGCACGGTGGACAGGGCCTGGGGCAGGGCTGCCAAGGCCAGGAGGCCACAGCCTCGGTCCAGGCACCTCCTGTCCCAGGCATGAGCCTCTCTGGATCACCAGGAGGATCGAGTTCAGCTTCCACCCACCCAAGGTGGCTGTGAGGGCCACAGGACACCAACTGCAGCTCCGAGACCCAGCAAGCAACTGAACCTCCCTCCAGAGAGGGAACAGCGTCCCTCCCTCACCTTGCCTCCAGGGAAGGGAGGCACAGGGACGCCCGGGGCCCCTCCCTGTCCTCTCCCGGGAGCTCAGCTGTGTTTCTGAACCCAGGACCAAGGGAGTCCCCATGGGCCTGGACTCGCTGTCTCCCTCAGACCCTCTGACTGGGGCTCCCCAGGACAGGAATCTCCTGCCCACGCTCCACCTCCCTTGCTGCCTCCACAGGGGCTTGGGCCTGGCAGGTAGGACACTTCTGGAGTCTCTCCAGGCCATCTGGGGACCCGAGGCATCCGTGGGAAGGGAAAGGGGTGAACCTACCTCCCGCCACTGCTTGTTCTCCATCCCTTGAGTATACATGACACACACTGCAGAGAAAAGGAAAGAAAGGGTCAACACGAGGGCCAGGAGGAAGGCAAGACCCCCGTGGGGAGGCCTGGGTGGCAGAGCACCTGCCACCTTTAGAGCCGGCAAGGTCTCTGCTTCCCGGATGGGGAAAGTGAGGCTCAGAAGAGGCTGAATACCTATCCAAAGTTGCACAGGGGCAGCGCCGGTCAAGGCTAGGCCCTTGCACCCCCAAAGCAGCGCTTGTACTGCCAGATCACAGCCACTCGGACTCAGAAGTGTTCTAGGACTGAAGCCTTTGGGCCCCAGACACCTCCACCCTTCCCAGCCCCTGGCTGTGTCGTTCTGGGGCATCCCAAGGAGGAGGCGGACAGGGAACCCCCAAGTCCTCCTGGTCTGGAGCACTCAGCAGCCCTGACGCGCAGGACAGAGCCAAGCGCACGCTGAGTGCTCCCGCCATTGGTCCTGAGGCTGCTGCTGTCGCTGTTACCCATCACAGCAGGACTTACGTGGGTCAGACTTGGAAAACATGTCTTTGTCCAAGAGGTTCCTGAAAGGGGAGAGAGGAGGAGTCAGCAGGCTGAGGGCAGGGAGGGGCCTAGGGTGCAGGCCAGTCCCTGCTCAGAAGTTCCCTTGGGCCTGGCCTCAGCCAACACAGTAAGAGAAGGCGGCTTGTGGGGCAAACTTTCATTAACCAAGGAACTGCCAGGCTGGGAGCGGCTCCAGGTCCCCTGTCTGAAGCTGCTGGGTGCCCCTCCCTGCCCCCTCTCTGTGGCACTGAGCTCCTCCCCGGGACCTCAGGCCTCTCACCAGCCAAGCCCTTTCTAGAGTCTGCTTTCATCACTTCTTTGCCTCAGTCAGTCAATTAAATCGCACACTCAATCCCCACCCCTCACTCTCTCAGGACTCAGTTTATTCCAGGTTCTGTCTGTTCTGGAGAAGTGATGCAGTTCACCTCCCGGGGGATGTGCTGGGTCCCCCAGGCCGGGCGATAACCCAAGGCCCCAGCGGTCCCACTGGAAGGCACAGCAGACAGAAAGGTCTGTGAGCAGGCGCTGAGCGACCCCGCCTCCCACAACACCAGCCCCCACTCACCCGCCCCCAGCCGTGGGTGCAGCTCAGAGTGTGGCAAATGGCAGCTCCCGGGTCCCGGGCTGCTCTCCAGGCAGAGGGGTCATGTCCTGTGCACCTGCTATGCCTCACCACACAGGGACTCCATGCCATCAGTCTCAGGCCTTGAGCCTGTCCCCTCTGTGCCTTCTGGACACACGAAGCCTTCCTCTCGCTGCTGCTCAAGTGCCACAAAGTCTATGCTCCCAAGGGCAGCACCAGCCAAAGGGCGGGGTTGGGGGCCACACAAGTCCACAGCCTCCTCCCACCCTCAGCTTCTCCGCCTCCCTCCCAGGTGCCTGGCCCCTGGCATCCCATGCCCCCACAGGTCCCTTTCCAGGGGAGAGAAATGGTCAGCCCTGCTGCCACTGCTCCCTCATGGCCAGCTCCTGGCGACCATCTCCTCTGCCCGGGAGAGGCGGGAAGTAGCCACGCCCCTCAGCAGCGGCAGAGACAGAAAGGCCCTGAGTCACCATCGCCGAAGCCCTCAGCAGTGACAGCTTGTGGGGCAACCTGACCCCAGAGTCAGTCCCACCGCCCTGCCCCCACCCTGGGTGCAAGCCAAAGACAGACAGACGGACAGGCAGACGTAGCAGAGCCTGGTGCCAACAAATGGCGAACTCTGATGCCAGGCCGGGCCCAGACGCGAGTCACCCCAGCTGCAGCGCTGTCCCCAAGACCAGGGGGCCTGTGGGAATCTGGCAGCTGTCACTTGGAAACCATCTGATATACATCACCCAGTCCTCGGGAGCCTCAGATGCAATGACACAGGGGTGGCTGGGGAGTCTGAGTGAGACCCGCGGGTGCAGATGGGCACCCCACTGGCCCGGGCTGGCACCCGGCTGTGCAGCTTAGGGGCAGGGAGGGGGGGGGTGTCTGCCTTGATTCCAGCAAAAGACAAAGCGCCTCAGAACGGAAGGTGACTCCAGACCGAAAGTGCTTCCTCTCCGATTTCTGTTTTAGGAGAGCTCAAAGAGACACTTTTTTTTCCAACAGGAAAAATGTATTTTTTTCCACCAAAAGAGCATAAAACCCTTCAGCTGTCCGCTCAGCAGCCTGGAGCTTGGCTTCTTTTGTTCCCAAATCAAGGCCAGGAAAGCAGAGCCGGGCCCCTCTGCTCCTGCTCCCCCCAAGGAACCAAGAGCAATTCAGAGGCGCTGTGAGATCAGGGGTCACCCGGGTCCCAGCAAAGGCAGAGGGCACTGAAAGGCGGGATCAGGGCCCCCACAGGTGACATCTCCCTGGGAGAGGCTGGCAGTGGGGATGTTGCCTCGACTGGACTGGGAGCCGCATGACCCACACCTCCCCGGCCGTCCCTACACAGCCCATGAGCCCACAATGCTGCCTCAACACAGATGGCAGCGCAGGAAGAGACAGCGCCCTTGCCTTCCCCAGCCAGGGACCCTCGGTGGGTGCCGTGGACCTGACTCTGGGCCCATGGCATATGGGTTCACACACACAGATGTGCTTTCAGATTCCCAAGACATCGGGAAAAAAATCTGGTTTCTCTTCTTCCCCAGACCCCCCCTGGCCACCCCCCCCCACCAAACTCTGGGGGGGCGGAGCTCGGGAGCAGATTTGGAGCCTGACTGCTGGGTCCCACACCAGCCCCGCCCCCTCTAGCTGTGAGACCTCAGCCCAGCCACTTCATCCCTCCTGGGTTTTGCTGGGATTAACGGGGTTCACATACTCAAAGCAGGTAGAGCAGTGTGAGGCACACGCTAGGTGGCAGTTTAGGGCCAGGTGTACAGGAAGTGCTCAGTAAAGGCCGACAGGACAGCTGCAGCATTAGGGAAGCCCCACTTGGGCCCCTCCCCACTCCCCACGCCCCGCTGAAGCAGGACCCGAGGGAGCAGCCTATGCCAAGCAGCAACAGGAATCCTGACCCACAGAGACCCAGCCCCGAGGGTCCCTGCAGCACCAGCCCGCCTGTCTATGGAGCAGCTTAACACCAAGCATCTGGCGAGTCAGGTGGGACACAGAGACACTAATCACACATGCAACCTGCACAGAGCCTCTGTCGGGGCCCAAGACCTGTGCCACGCTGTCTGCCCTCCACCTCAGTGCCAGCCGGTGAGCGTCACCGCATCCTCCAGGCAGGGCAGATTCAGACTCCACAGCTCCAGCCCTCTGGAGGTGAGAAAGATCACCTGCGTCACCAAAACCCAGGCCACCCTTAGCCCTTGTGGCCAGCCGGGTCCCTGCTGCTCCCCCGGCCCGCTCCTGCCACGCAGCCTGGCCAGGGTCTAGGAGGCAATTTTACATGGTTAGCGCATTGCCTATCTGGGGCTCCGTGCCTCAGGGTTAATGATCGCCACAGCTGTCCCCCTCAAGCTGCGTGACCAAGCAGAGCGCAATCACTCTGGCCTCCGTGTACCCAAGCAGGAGTCCCTGACGCGGCCACAGGGCAGTTCTGTTGCCCTGCGCCGGCTGCTCCCTCCCAGCTTCCTCTCTGTGCCTGGGTCGCTTCCCTGCCTCATGGGGTGGCTGGAAGCAGAAGGGCAGCGATCACCTCCATTCCTCTCCCTGTGTCGCTCCTTCCCAGTCACCAAGTCCTTCGGAAGGTTTCTCCAGGCTGTTATCTGCATCCCCACTTCCTCTCTGACCCCATCCTCTTCGGTTCCCCATTGCTCACACTCTTCCAGCCACCATGGTCTCCCTGCAATTTGGCAGGCATCTCACGATCTTTTCTGCTACAGGGCCTTTGCACTTGTTCTTCATCCTTCCTAGATCCTCCCTTTGGATCTCAGCTCAACGTTACATGCTTGTCCTGTCCAAATATCTCCAACAACAATGGACTTCCTCACACAGTGTTCATCCCTATCAGATGTCATTGCTTAAAAAAAAAGTGTCTTGGGGCTGGGGATTTAGCTCAGTGGTTCCGGCGCCTGCTTCACAAGCACAAGGTCATGAGTTGGATCCCCGGCACCAAAACAAAAAAAGTGTCTTTATGTTCACCCTATCCCTCACGAGTTCCATCTACTATAGCCTCACCACTCAGGACTCTCGATAGCAAATGCAGATCAGCAGCAATGATCACACGAAAGAACCTATCAGGAGCATCCAGTTACTGACCCCTGTTATTACTGTGGCGCTTATTTAGCACATTCCACCTCATACAGACCTCCAGAGACTGCATCTCTCCTGAATTCATAATGATCGACAGGGCACAGCCACACCAGTCCTCCCAGCATTGTAAAGGAGATCAGAGCCATCTTTACACCCCTTCCTGCTTGGACAAAATCCCGATACCCACAAACTAAAGGAAGGAGAAGTTTATTTTGGCCCACATTTCAGTCCATAGTCAGCCAGCTCCATGCAGGAAGCCATGGCAGAGGGGCCTGGCGGAGGAGAGCTCCTTGGGGCATGCCGGACAGGAAGCAGACCAGGGGGAAGCTGGGAAGGGAGAGGGAACCTTCCAGGCCACACCCCCAGGGACTTCATCTCCTAGCAGGAAGTTGCTGTGAGCCCCAGAATGCAAAAGCCCTGCTTGAGACTGCATGAGGCTCATGGGGGACGTTCAGACAGAACCATAACAGACAGACTGAGGCCGGAGAGCCTCTGAAACCTGGCTAGGGTCTCAGAGAAGGGAAGCCAGGAACTGCAGACTTCCGGGGTCCTGGCCAGGATCCATCAATACCCAAAGGCACCTTGTGCTGCTCTGAAAACACTAAGCCTTTTCTTGCCTGAGAAATGAGCAGGAAGACAGGCAGTCAGGAGTCTAGATGAACTTGTCACCTGTCACCTAACGCTGGTGGTTCACTGCCTGCAGGAAGAGCTGAGGAGTCAGGCCCCCGGATGCCAACCCTGGGCCTCTTTTAGCTGCAGGGAGCTCAGTAGCCAGTGAGGACGTGTGGAAAGCTTCCTTTCACCAGAAGCCATGGCTGCACCTCCAGCAAGCATTCCCCACTCTTCCTGCTACCTGAATCCACACCGGTTCAGAGCTGATACAGACCCCTGAAATCCCAGTGCATGACCTCTATCTTTGGCTAGGGGTAGCATCGATCAGCTTTGGCCAGTTAAATAGAAAGGAAAATCTGCTAAGAGATCTTGGGAGGGACTGTGCTTTTTGATAAAAACATTTTTAACTCCATATCTTGTTTCCCATTCTTGGATGTGGTTGAGATACCTGGAGCAGAGGCAGCCCCACAGTGGAATGAGGTCCATTGTGGGTATGATAGCCGAGGAGAACTACAGTTGGGTCCTCCATGGTAAACGAGAGCTGATGAAACAGTCCAAGATAACTTAGCTTTTTCTTTTTTTGGTACCAGGGATCAAACTCGGGACCTTGAGCTTGCGAGGCAGGCGAGGCAGACGCTGGCACCACTGAGCTAAATCCCCAGCCTCTGAGATAACTTAGCTTGACTCACTGTGATCAGAGAAAAGCAAATCTCTCAGGCTTGCAGGCATGGTGGTGCATGCCTGTAATCCCAGCACATGGGAGGCTGAGGCAGGAGGATTGCCACAAGTTTGAGGCCAGCCTGGGCTACGAAGTGAGTTCAAGGCCTGCCTGAACTGCAGAGCAAGACCTCGTCCCAAAAAACAAAAAAATCTCTCAGGCTTACATTACTAGTCAGATTTTCTGTCACTTCCAGCTGAAGCACTCCTAAGAAATCGACTCCTCCCCACCACGGAGCTGTCCAGCCTCCTTTCCCTGCTTCCTCCCTGCCCTGCACTCCCCGTGGTGGGTCATCTCCATCAAGGACCTTGGACTGGGACAGGGAGACGCAGGCTGGAGAGGAGTGATCCTGAGCACTGGCTCATACCTCCCATAGTGCTGGTGCCCAGGCCCGTCCATGGTCTCCATGGAGACCCCACCCCCTACCTCAAGAAATCTTCAAGGGGGCCGGGGATTTAGCTCAGTGGTTCCGCTGCCTGCCTTGCAAGCACAAGGACCCGAGTTCGATCCCCGGTACCAAAAAAAAAACCTTCAAGGTTTTGAGGTCCAGGGAAACTGGACTTGGCTCCCCTCCCCAAAAATGTATTGGCTGTGTATCCTTGGGTGGGTCCCTTAACATCTCTGAGCACTGATTTCCTAATCAACAAATAGAGAAAATACTACTCCCTGTCTCACAGGAGCATTGTGAAGTAAAGAAGGTACGGGGGGGGGGTGGCAGGCAGAAATGTAAAGTGGTCCTTAGGTGCCCGCCCCCCAAGAACAGGCCTGAGTAGTCCCCTCGCCCAGGGGCATGGGACTGTTGCTCAGGCAACCAGGACCGGGTCATGGGATGTGAAAGGCGACAGGTCATTCGCTCCCATGATTACAGATTCACTGTTACCTGGGACCTCAGCGAGGAGTCAGGTCCCTCTGGCTTTGCAGTCCCCAAAGGACCACTTGGCGGGACCAGGGAACCACTTCTCAGGGCCAAGTCACTGTTTGAAGCCAGCAAGAAAACACAGCTGTCACCTTGCAGCTGCAAGGAACTGAATTCTGCCAACAACTTGAGATCAGAACCCTGCGGACACCTAGCTGTCAGCTACTGAGACCCCGAGCAGGGCTGAACCGGGGCCTCGGATGGATCTACAGAACCAGGACGGGCAGCCGTTGAGAGGCCGAGCACCCAGGGCGTAGTAAGCACTGGATAATGCACTGGCCTCACTGCCATGGCTCCGCAACACAGAGCAGCCTGGCTTAGTCTGGGGTTAAAGAACCTCTTTTCACAGCGCTGGGTTTGACAGCTGTGGGGCCCTTGGTCCCCGTAGCCCCTTCCCTGCCTTTCAGGAGAAAGGGCTGGGAGCCGATTCACACCCCTCCTGAGAGGCCCAGGGCAGCGGAACGATCGCCAACCTGCACAGACAGCACAGTCGTGTCTCTGCCCGGAGACAGCAGCTACCCACCAGGTGTGCCCTCGGGGGCAGAGGCTGCTGTCAGAGACTCCAGGCAGCCGCTGGCCTCTCCCCTGCTCCGTCTCTTCCATGGGAGTCAGAGAGCCAGGACCCCGTGCCCCTGCGGATCTGTGTGTGCTTTTCCAGCAGGATCCTGCCCCAGTGCAAAGGTTTCCCATTACATTAAAAATGCAGATCTCTCTTTCTAAACAACATGCTGGCCCAGATCCTGCATCGGACGACAGAGGCACAGATACCTGAAAACTAACAGGGCCCGGGAGGTGCACGGGATGGAAGATCTGACAGGTCTGCAGAGCAGCCCCGAATGTAGGAAAGGTCTGGGACCAACCACCAGGGGATGGACAGCTTTTGGCTGGAAGGAGGAGGGTCTGTGAAGTCACATTTTCTACAGTGTCTGCTGATATCTAGGTGCACAAACCATCTGCCCGATCCACTCAGAGCCATCTCTAAGCTGGGCGTGGTGCCACACACCTGTAGAATCCCAACACTTGGGAGGCTGAGGCAGGAGGATCATCACAAGCTGAAGGCCAGCCTGGACAACATAGTGAGTTCAAGGCCAAACTGAACTACATAGTGAGACCCTGTCTCAAAAACCCAAAACAGGGCCAGGGATTTAGCTCAGTGTACCTTGCCTGCCTCTCAAGCACAAGGTCCTGAGTTCAATCCCCGGTACCGAAAAAAACAAAAAACCCCACACAAAACACAAAACCAAACACAAAAAATCTACCTCTTATGTCCAGAACGCAAACAAACCTTGATACCCAGCTGCAGAGACGAATATTTACTTCCAGATGTCAAATAATAGATAACATAAATCACTCACCATGGATTAAGCCTCACAACTGATAACAATTGTTATGCTTCTTTTACAGAGGGGGAAACTGAGCCACAAAATGGCTAAGTAGCTTTCCCAGAGCTAGTCTGAACACAGTAGACAAATGCCAGGGCTTCCATTCTTAACCACCGTGCCAAATAACCAAAGGCTTTCTGCTCTTTGGCCCAGGATTTACCAAAGTCAGGAAAAATAACTGTGGGTCTGGATTATGGATGAGCCCATGGCATCACCCACATGAACCAGGGGCCTGAACATGTCCACCCTATGGTGTCGTCTGCTTTCCCCAGAGCCATGGCCGGGTTCGTTGGTGCCCCGTGCCCACAGCAGGGAGCCTTGCTCAGCTAGGAGAGCCCCAGGCCAGGCTCAAGGTAGCCGGGTTCCCCCCAGGTAGAGCAGAGAAGGGGTGGCCAGAACCCCATGGGGAGCAGAAGGGGAAGGCAGCAGAGGGGGAGCCATGATCCCCTGCAGCCCCAGGCCCTCCCCACAGCTGCCCACCCCTCTACCCACCAGCAGGGGTCCCCCAGATGCTAAGGCCGCCTCTCCTGGGCCCTGGGATGGGAGACTTGACTCTAACCAATGTCCAGAGCAGAGTGCTGGAGAAAACTGCTCTGCACTTCCCTCTCCCCACGCCCTCTCCTCCTTTTCCTCCTTCCTCTCTCCTCTCCCCACCTGACTCCCAGAACCTGGAGAGTGACTGGGCCCCTGCTGAAGCAGAGATGGAGCTACGCTTTCAAGGCCACCCAGACTGCCCCTCTTACTTCCCACCTGTCCCAGCGACTCCTCCCTCCTGATGGCACCTCACCAAAAACCATCTCCAGCCGCTCACTTCCTGGAGAGCAGGAGCAGGGCCAGGTGCTCATCGGGTTGATGGTCACCCCAGTCAACCCCAGCACTGCATCCTCCAGGGACAGCTGTGTCCCCAGGCCCGTCTGTCCCAGGCGGGTACATTCTTTGGACACCTCCACTTCCAGGGAACTGACAGGCTGGGTGGAGCATGACCAGGCAATCATCTTAGCTACTTATTGAGCACCTACTGTGTGCCAAACAAGCACAAAGCTGTATGACAGATGCTCTGTGCTCCTCTGCTCCTGCCAGCAGTATGTGTGCCTATGTGCCAAGCACGGTTCCAAGCCTTAGTGCCCTCCTGAGGACAGGTACTTGACAAATGGGGACAGCGAGGCTTCCAGTTGGCCCCAAGTGAGGACTCAGAGTCTCCTTTACAGGATGTCTACCTCCACACGCCTCGCTGTCACCTGTCACCTCAGCTCCTGCCGCAGAGGGATGCGCCGCTCTGGGGAGGGGGCTGAGTGTGCACCCTGGGATGGCTTCGGAGGGTCCTCAACGGCATGCAAGTGACCCGCAGCCTGGGCCGGGCTTTTCGAGCTGGGGTCTGGGGTGAGATGACGCCTTCCAAGAGGGGGACATGGAGGAGGAGCGAAGCCTGCACCCCGCTGAATGGACTGTTCAAGGGGGAGCCAGAGGGGACCCATGACTGAAGGCTGGGAGGGGCTCTGGGGAGAAAAGGCAGGCTTAGTAGCGCTCGGGGCTGAGGAGGAGAAGGAGAGGAGCTGACGGGCCACCAGGAGTCCCCAGCACGGTGACAGTGGCTCCGAGGGGCAGAGCCCAGCTCAGTGTCTCCAGCTCTAACCACAACTCCCCAGTGTCACGACGTTTGATACCGTTTCATACGGGGCCTCGCCTCGAAGAGTCTGGCCGAAGCGTGTGACCTGGAACATGGCGGGTAGGGGGAAAAGGCCTCAGCCAGGGCTCTGGAAATCCTGCCGGTTATGGGGAGGTGGCGTCTTGGGGGCCCTCGAGGTGGACCGTGCCGGGGTGACATGCCCCTCCAGGTCCCAGCAAAGCCCTGTCCCTAGGGCAGCCACAGAGTGGCTGAAACAGGGACCTCCCCCACCCCCGCCCCCTTATACCTGGAGCAGCCCCCCTCAGCTCCTGCACTTGGGGAGAACCAGCCCGTAGAGGGCGTGACTAAGGATCTGGGCGGGTGGCAGACCACAGACACCTCTAGTCTTCCCCTGACGGATTCTGAAATGTCAGTGTCCCATTCCTTTGGCTTAAGGGTTTGACCCAAGTTATTGGTTTTTTAACGGGTGCCGCTTTCAGTTGCTTCAGGTTCCCACACCTGGGCAGGAACGAGTCAGGCCAGCCCTGTCTCTTCTGGGTCTGCAGGTGAGGGAAGACTGGAAGGCTGGGGTCAGGACTGCAGGGGCGGGAGAGAGGATGAGGATGCTGGGTAGAGGCGGGAAGCGGAGGAGCGAGGAGGGAGCAAGGAGGGGCTGGGCCCCCGCAGGGGCAAAGCCCTCACTTCTGGATTTGGCGAGGGGGTCGCGGGAGGCGTCCGGAGCCGAGACCCCGGGAACCCTCTCACCAGCTCCCCTCCCCCAGGGCGCCCGGACCTGGTTCCGGTGTCCCCCGCTGTCCTGAAGCCTCAGCCCGGAGCGCAAACTTTCCGGGATGTGACCCCCGCCTGGCGTCCCACCTGCCGTCCTCACCGCAGCCGGGCGGGGGCGGGGGTCCCGGAGCGAGGACATTCAGGGAAGGGGGCTCCTTCGGCGTCGGCGGGGACGGAGGCAGCGGCCCGGCTCGGGCCCAGGGGCGGGGCAGGGGGACTCACCTGCAGGACACGGTGATCTCCACCTTGGTGGCGGGGATGCTGCCCGCCAAGGAGTCGAACTCGCTCAGCGACGCCATGTCCTCGGGCTGCTCCATCACCCACCGCGCCCCCGGCCCGAATTAGTCAATTCCTGCGCGCCTCCTCCAGCGGCGGAGCCTGGGCTTTCCCCAACTCCAGAGCCGGGCTGCGCGGCCAGGGCAGGAGCGGCGCGCGGAGGGGGCGTGGGCAGCAGACGGGCGGGGCGCGAGCGCGGGCGGGGGCGGGGACGGGGGGGGTCGCGGGCGGGGGCGCTGGAGCGCGGAGCCCGGCGCCCAGACTGCGCTGCCTCTCGCGGGGGTCTCGGCGCGGGTGGCGGCTGCGAGCGCCCCCTCCTCGGCCGGGGCTCGGGCTCCGGGGCTCCGGGACTGCGGGAAAATCAAATGAGCCCGAGCCGCTTCCCGCCCGCCCCCCAGGGCCGCGCGCCGGAGGGGCCGCCTGCAGGGGCCGGGGTGGGGCGGGGCGCGGGCGGGGTCTGCGCCGCGTGAGTGTGAGTGTGAGCGCGTGTGAGTGTGCGCGCGCGGGGCGGACGTGGGGACGCGGCTCCAGATGCTCGGGACCAGGGTCTGGGTTGCGCGCGCCTTCCTCTGCGCCGGGGTCTCGGATGGGGGCGGCAGGGTCGTGTGACCCGAGGGGCACGTGTTTAAGGAAGTCGGCCGGGAGGCGACGTGTGCCGGGAAAAATATGACACCCCTACGCCAGGGGCTGGAGTGACAGGGTCTCCGCGGAGCGCGCCCCACACGGCCTGGGTCCTGCGCTCCCCGCCGCCCCGGAGCAGGTCGCTGGGCAGGGCTTGGTGGCCAGGTCGGCGGGCGCTTGCGTCCTCTGTTCTGATCGCCCTGCCGGGAGGCAGCCCCCAACCGCGCCCTCCAGCGCCCCCACATCATGACCGCTCGGCCCTAGCCGCGCCCAGGGCTGCACGCCTCCTCTGCAGCCCGGGAGGGTGACGGTGGGAAGCTCCAGGCCCTGCCTGGGGTGCGCCTTGGGGGGGGGCGGCCTCCATGCACACCCGCTGCCGCTCCTCAGCCTCCCCGCGCGCCGTGGGAGCCTGGGGCCGAGCCGGAAGCTTCGCGCCCCTGGGCCGCGCCTGTGGCAGATGGGCCACGGGTTCTGTTGGAAGTGGATTCCCAAGACATCACACCCTGGGGAGTGGAGAAGAACAGCAGAACGCGTTCCTCCGGCGCGGCGCGGGCGAGCGGTTCTGCTTTCCGTGGCTCAGGAACAGCCGAGCTCGGTTCTGCCACCTGCAACAGACAGCACAGGGAACAGAGGTGCTGCGCTTCCCTGGGGAGCTGGAGGAACCGGGCCAGGAGGCCTCGCGCCTAGGCTTGGGCCTGAGGCCCTGGCTCCACAGGGACTAATTCAGACTCCTTTTCTTTGTTTGTTTTTTAACTTTTGAAATTTTTATTGATTTTAAATATGACAAAATCCAACTTGAACTGCAAAATTTGATTTGAACAACCAATGGGACGGCGGTGTTTTCAATACATTTCTAAAAGTACGAATGTATGCAATAAAATGGAATTAACAGTCCAGCATAATGTGAGCTTTTCATTACAGTGGTTTATATATTTTCTTAGGCTGAATTAATATTTATTTTTGTACGGGAGATTGGACCTAGGGGCTTCACACTCAGCTACATCCCTAGTTCTTTTTCTCTTTACTGTTTTCTCCCTAAAATGCTAATTTGCCCAGGCTGGGCTTGAACTGTAATCTTCCTGCCTCAGCCTCCCAGAGTGCTGAGATTATAGGTATGCACCAAAATGGCCGGCTAGGATGAATTAAAATTTTAATGTAACACTCTTTAATAGGACTATACAAAAACAGTCATTTTTAAAAGTGACTCACCAAAACATGGCTATGAATGTGTTTGAAACCACAGCTCTGTAAAAGACTGGATAAAGAAAACATAAGGTCAGATGCCTGAAGTGGGTGGCCATGCCTTGGAGCATCCAAGTCTTCAGGTCCCAGGTTATCTTCTGTTCCTGTGAAGGTGGGGCTAGCATTCTATCCTCTGGTGAGACAGACACCAGGCAGCTTGTGCTGAGGACTGGAAACCTCTGGGTCCCCAGCCTCATATGCTAGGCACAGAAAAATATGCTTTTTTTTTTTTTTTGAGACAAAGTCTCACTATGTAGCCCAGGCTGGCCTTGAACTTGTGGCGATCCTCCTGCCTCAGCCTCCAAATGCTGGGATTATAGGCGTGTGCCACTGTGCCCAGCAGAAAAACATGCTTGTGGGCTATGTTCTCCATCACCTGCTGTGTGGCCAGCCTGGTGTGGGGCCACTTGGGAAATTCTGTTGCTAGCAGTGATCACCCCTGTTTACTTTTCTTTTTGGTACTAGGGATCAAACTTGGGTCCTTGTGCTTTTGAAGCCAGCACGGTGTCACTGAGCTAAATCCCTGGCACCCCTGTTTTATTATCAAAAAGCTGGACCAAACACGACATACTTACATTTCTTTAAAAAGATATTATTCACACACCACAAACAGCACCATTTTGGGGGTTTTTTTGGTACCGGGGATCGAACTCAGGGCCTTGCATTTTCGAGGCAGGCATTGGCACCACTGAGTTAAACCCCTGGCCTTTCACCATTTTTAAGTGTACAGTTCAGTGGTCTGTGGTATATTCACAAGGACCATGCCTGGTTTTAAATTCTGGAGATAATTATGGGTGGAGCATTATTAACCATGTTCTGCTACTAGGGAAGCAAATGTCCAGAGAGGCCAAGTCACTTCCCTCTCATTGCCCATGGGAACATTAGACTGAGGACTCGAACCCATGCAGCTGAGACTAAAGCCCAGCATTGGGCAGGAAGCTCCATTCCTGCTGTTGGTTCTTTAGCAAAACAGTACAGCTGCAATGGGCGGCTACTACTGAGGCCACTAGACTCCAAGTGAGCAGTCCACAGCGTCTGTCCCTAAGATGTCCGGCTTGGTGGGGGCCCTGGACACAAAGACAGAGCAGCCTCAATGGGGCAGGAAGGGGCGCTGTGGAGGTGGCTGGGAACCCGAAAGGTGACATCTTGGTGTGGGCTGAGGCAGAGCCTGGGCCTAGGAGTCACTTAGGAGGTCACAGAGCGGGAATGCGAAAGCAGGGCCACAGCCCCCAAGGGGCTCTGGGAGACTGTGGGAGCCCCCGACTTAGCCCAGGGCAGCAGGGGCAGGGGAGCCAGGGTGGCAGGCTCAGGGCCAGCGATTCCTGGGGCATTTGTTTCCTGCCCTCCTGGCCTGCCTGGCATAGTGGCAGTGCAGGTCCCAGAAGCTCAGGCAAGGCCTGCTCACTTGGCAGGTGCTGCAGGGGACGTCGAGGGGTGGGCCAGGCACTGGCAGGGCAGCGGCTGCCACAGAGACAAGCTGCAGCCTGTGGTGGGGCTGAGCAGGATCCTGGGGGGGCCAGCGAGACAGAGGCAGAGATCTGCACTCGGGGACTCCGCGAGGCTGGAGCGGCTGGAGCGGCAGGTGAGGCTGCAAGCAGAACCCGAGGCCCTGAGGCAGGTGGCTGGGGCCAAGCCTGGCCTCCTCAGCCTGCCCCGCAGGGCCCCAAAGGACCCTGGCTGCACGGCCAACTGGGCAGCCCCCAGAACATCGCGCTGCTCCGAGCCACGCTCGGCCATCGCCACCAGGCTGTGTCTCTGGAGAGACGACAGGGCCTCGTCGCCACGATCACCTGTGCTGCCAGGCAGCCGGGTGGGCAGGTGCCAGGCGCTGCGGAAGGAGGAGCAGCCTCCACCCAGGCCACCCACCAGGGACTGCGGCGGTCCGTCTGATTAGGAACCGCAGGCACGGACTGGGATCCAGAATCGTCACTAACAGCGCTTCGCCTTTGCCACCGAGCTGCACCCAAGTGCGCGCATCTGACCTAATCCTCGGGTTAATGACGGCGGAGCAATTTTGAGAGGCGACTCGCAGCATCGATAAGGAGAGGAAAAGCACCACCGGCTCCTCACAGAGGAAGCAGCTGCCTCCCCGCCCCCTCCGTCCCCACGTAGATGCTGCCCTGGCCCTGCCCTGTTGGAGGACTTGATGGTGTGAAAAGGGACAGGAAAGACTGAGCGCCAGATGTGCAAGGGACGAGGGAACAGGGCCGCCCACCACCCTTGAGAACTGACCAGAGAAAGGCACTCTGTGCTCCGGGCAAACACAGCCTTAAGCCAGGGAAGGCTCGTGGCCACTTGGGCAGGGTGTGGGGTGGATGTGAGCCCCCACTCACCCCTAAGCCGGATGCTCCTGTGCAGTCAACGCCCTGCACCACTCTACCTGGCGCTGGGGAGAGGAGCGGAGACAGAGGGCATGACGGGAACTTGAAACTAGCAATATAGAGGGAGGGGAGATGCAGTGTCTGATTCCATCCATTAATAGAAACACTAGACGGGGCTTGGTTGGAGACAACCCCCTCTTTTGCTGAAAAGCTTACAGAAGGGGCACAACGGCTCGAGCTCATCCGAGCCTCCCAGTAAGACCAAGGTGGGCACCCTGGGCACTGCAGATGGGCCGCTCCATCGGGGAGAGCACAGAACAGAGGCCAGGGTGGGCGCGGCCAGCCTCCGCTCAGCCTGACAAGCCCCTCCCACCCGCCGCCTCCTCTGCGCCTGCTCTTCCTGGAGGCTGCAAGGCGTCCCCGGGTCTCTCCTCGTGAGGCCTCCCCGGCACACCAGCCAGCACAGCACCGGTCACTCGGTCCCCGGCCCTCCTTGACTCTTCTTCCCCGTTTCCTGCCCTGGCACAAAGCTGTGTGCAGGTGGGGACCTTGTCCCGTTGCCCGCCGATTCCCTGGCCCCAGGACGCCCACAGGTGTGCATGGGTAGCACACTCGGCCTGCTTTGTCAAATGACTGAGTGGAAAGCGCCTGCTCCCTGGAGGCACTGACTCCCTGTCCCGACGGGCTGGGCCTCTGCTGTCCCCGCAGACGCTCCTGCTGCTGTGCTGTTGGGTGACAACTACCAGACTGTGCTTGCTGGGCCGTGGCCGGGACCTCAGGGAGGGGACCCAGCACACAGCAAGCAGGGCAAGGACTCTCACGCCCGACACCCACTTCTCCTCTCCGAGCCCCAAGATACCACACTCACCCCCTGGGAACTGGACCATGGAGTGCTGAGCTACATCCCCACTCTTTTGTTACATTCTTTATTTATTTGCGGGTTTGAGACAGGGTCTGTGTATGTAGCCCAGACTGGCCTTAAACTCATGGACCTCCTCCTGTCTCAGCCTCCAAGTGCTGAGATCACAGCCCTGCACCACCATTTTAATCTTTTTGTTTGTTTTGGTACCGGGGATCGAACTCAGGCCCTTGCGCTTGCGCAGCAGGCAGCGAAAGCACTGAGCTAAATCCCCGGCCCTCCATTTCAATCTTGACACAGGGTCTGACAAAGGTGCCTGGGCTGGCCTCACATTTGTGATTGTCCTGCCTCCGCCCAGTGGAGTCGGGGGCCCACTCTGAGTTTCCGTCCTGGGGAGCAGTAGGAGAAGAAGCCACAGTGTTTACTGCATCTTTTCACAGAGGAAGGGAGCGGGTTCCCAGCATCAGCCTCGGGGCTCACAGGGTCCTCAGCAGCGCCACTGCCCTGGCCTGGCTAGGCCCCACCAGAGCCTCGGTCTCACTCCCTGCCCACGGGGCCCGGCCCTGCCCAAGCCCGCAGCCTGTCCACACCTGGGCTGTGCTCAGGGCCAACCCTGCCGCCCGTCACTGTCTCCAAGCACAGATGTCCCAGCCCGTCGCATCCGGTGCCTGTGCTCACAGCCCCCAGACTGAGAGTGCTGCCAAGGCCCGAGGGTGTCGGGCTCCCCTGGGCCTTACAGATCCGACCCCGAAGCCCGGGGAGGCAGAGACGCTCTCCCCGGCTGTGCTGCTCAGCAGCCGTGGGTGACAAAGCTGGCAGCTGCTCTGAGCCCATGGGTCTAGATCTCCCCTGCTCCTCTGAGGAGGGCGGTGCCACCTGACTTCCTGTTGGTCAGTCACGCAGAGGTGCTGTCCTCACCACCTGGCCGTGCCTGCACCACACTGGCCTGAGAAGCCACCACAGATGAAATATACATGTTTTTAAGGCTCTAAAATCCATTTTCACCGAGCTGCCGGTACACGCTGGCCTGCCTGCCAGAGGGGAGGTGCCAGAACCATGCCCAGGACGCTGGGCCAGCTCTTCGTGGAAGCTGTGGTCCGGGTGGACCTGCCCCGTGACTCCGCGTGTTTATCCGCCTGGGATGCACGGGCAGAGGAGCTCATCAGACGCTCCTCATCCTGCCTCCCTCACCTTGGGCCGGAAGAGCGCCCATTAGGGGAAGCACGTGCCCTGTTCTCTGTGAATCCCATCAGGGCCTCCCCCCACGGCCTGCCTGGGAGACTGGGGAGAGGCACAGCTCTCTCCCCTTGCTGTGCATCTGCTCTCAGCTTCTCAATTTAAAGACGGGGTAACAGCCAATCATGGTGGTGCATGCATATAATACCAGCACTCAGGAGGCTGAGGCAGGAGTACTGCTGGGAGTTGAAGGCCAGCCTGGACTACATAGTGAGACTCTGTCTCAAAAAGACTTAGAAAAGGAGAAGGGGAAAGGGAAGAAGAGGAAGAGGAAGAAAAAAATCTCCAAGTCCTAGGCAAGCCCTAGGCCTGCCTTTTCCTAGCCACGCAGGCCCTGTGCCCATTATTCAATCCGTTCATTCGTCCTGGACCAGGTTTTGTGCTGCTTGTCTTTGGTCCTCAGTTTGTTCATCTAGAAGTGGGCATCATGCCAGTCTCTGAGGCCGGTTTGAGGGGTTAAGAGGAAAAGCTATTTGAGAGGCATCCACAAACCCTGAAACACAAAAGGGGCAACAATAACTTCCCATTTTCTTCCAAGGTTCCTTCTGGTTGGCTTTTCTCTGATTCTATGAAAATGTTTGCTGATGCTGGCTGTAAAAGAAGGGTCAGGAATGACTGCTGAATGAGTGAGTTCAACCACAGTGGAATTTGGTTTTTCTGAGACAAGATCTGTGTAGTTCAGGCTGGTCTCGAACTCGTAGCGATCCTCCTGCCTCAGCCTCCCGAGTGGTGGGATTGCAGGTGTGCGCCACCACGCTGGCTTTGTACAGCGGAACATGACGAAGCGCTCGGGGGTTAAGGCGGGGCCTCCGTGAACCTCCCGCACAGGGTGGCGGGCAGAAAGGGGCTGCTCAGCCTGTGCCAGGGTGTTTCCAGCTCCCACTGTGCCAGCTGTCATCTCGTCCTAGCCACACAATCTGAGCAGTCGCTGCTTTTCCACGTCGGGGGAGAGGCGGGCGCGGCTCAGTGAAATCCTGAAAGGCGCTGGCCGCCTTCTGCCTTTTGAAGAAGCTGCGAGGCAAAACTGCGTTCGGAGCGCCCTCTAGTGGCCGATCTCCGGAACAGCATGCCAACGCGGAAGGAATCTTCCTATTGACCTGGATTCGCAGCCTGGGTCTGGAAGGGGCCAGGTTCAAATCTTGACTTGATAAAGGAGGTCTTCAGATTCCCGAGCGAAGGCGACTCCCCTGGGTCTCACCAAGGCCACGCCGCGCTGTTCACACCCGTGCCCACTACTGGCCATCTGCGGTTCCAGAGACAGAGCAGAGACCGCACTGTGCTTTCTTCTGCCATTTCCCTTCCGGTCCAGGGTGCTGCGGGACATCTGGCGTCCTGGCCTTCCCCTGAAAGTCGTACTGGACTCCAAGGCCGGTAAACTCCCAACTTTAACAAAGGTGCTTCTCATATCCTCTTCCTCCAAACGCTGCCAGGATGTGGTGCCCAGCAGGCTGCAGCGACGGCTCAGCTTGGCAGGACCTGGGCAGGAATCCTCTGCCTTGTGCAGAGAAAGACATTTTGACATATTCTGGAGACATGATCCAAAAATAAATCAAGCGAAGTGCCTCTGAGGGCTGAGCAGAAAGGTTCTGCTGCTAGGCAAGCTAAAGTCTGGTTTGTTTTTTTTAAACAGGGTTTCACTATGTAGTTCAGGTTGGCCTTGAAATGTAGCCCCGGCTGGCCTGGAACTCCTGGCGACCCTCCTGCCTCAGCCTCCTGAGTGCTGGAATCACAGGTAGGCACCACCACACCCTGCTAAAGCCTGGATTTGTGACCCAGTGTCTGCCTCTTGGTCTGAGTCTCTTTCTGCTCGAGGGCATTTTGATTCACTGGGCAGTAACCTCGAAGGCACTGAGAAGATGTGCAGAGTAGGACAGGCCCTGCCCTCGCAGGTCAACACAAAAGGGGCTGCTGGGTTGAGAGGAGAGTCGGGGGCTGGGGTGCAGCTGGGTAGTAGAGCGCTTGCCTGGCACGAAGCAGGTCCTGGGTCCCACCCTCAGCACAGAGACAGACAGACGAACAAGCAGACACACAGTAGCTTCAAGAGCACCAGCAACAACAGCTGGCATTTTAAGTGTTTTCTGAATGTTAGATCCTGTTCTACCCCATTTAACTTTCACAGTCCTGTGACGCTAGGTCTGTTACCCCCATTTCATAGGTGAGGAAACTGAAGCACAGGGAAATCTGGAAATGTTAGTTCACTGGGCTGCCGAGGGCTGGGGTTGTGTCTGACGCCGCCTGGCTCAAGCCCCTTCCTGCACTGTCACAGTGGTGAATGCCACCTTCCCTGAATTTTCTGCAGTGTCTGATGACTGCACTGTCTCCCCACTGTGGTGGCCAAGAGGGGATCCCAGCGCTATGCATGGCGGGCCGTTGTCATAGTGGACTAAGTGGATGCTAAAGAGGGGGCTGTTTTGTTTTGTTTTGTTTGGTACCTGGGATCAAACTCTGGTCCTTGCACTTCTGGGGCGGGCAGCGGAACCACTGAGCTAAATCCCCGCCCCTATGGGCGCTGTTCTTAATGTTCAGTCAAAGCTGGACCCCTGAAAGTCTAAGTCTCAAATCTCGACATTCTTGCCGGCCTCAAGGATGAGGCAGACCCAGGTACAGGCCCAGCTGTGCCATGTTCCTGTGCCCGGACCTCCACCCCCATTCATCATGGGTGTGATGGGGACAGGCAGTCACCTCCTTGGGAGCTGCTTAGAAATTCAGGCCCTGCCGGGCATGGTGGTGCACACCTGTAATCCCAGATCTAGGGAGGCTGAGGCAGGAAGATTGCCTTGAGTTTGAGGCCAGCCTGAACTACATATTGAGACCCTGTCTCAAAAAAAAAAAGAAATTTGGACCCTAGTGCTCTTGTGTTTTCTTTTGTTTTACATCATGAGGTCTTGCTATGTATCCCAAGCTGGCCTTGAACTCTAAAGTGACTCTCCTACCTCAGCCTCAGTGCTGGGATTATGGGCATGTGGCTCCACGCCCAGCGCTGCTAGGCTCCCTCAGTGGCTCCTGTGTGGTGAGGTGGGAGAAGCCCTGGGCAGGTGCCCTCAGGCCACAAACCCTGTGGTCACACGGAGTCCAGGGGGACACGTCTGAGGCTTCCTTCCCTGCCCTAACCTCTCCCAGCCTCAGTGTTCCCCACAGCTGCCGCCCCATCGCGTGGCAGCCCCAGCAGGCCTGCCAACTCTTCGTGCCTACTGGGGACGTCTCGTCCCACCTGGAAGTGGTGTCCTCAAGTCCCCATGTCCTCACCAAGGGAAGGTACAGACCTCACACAACCCAAGAACTCAACAAGGTTCCTCTACGTGGAATCGGGGCTCCGTCTCCAGCTAACGCAGAATCCCCAGAACTGTCGCAGTTCAGTGTCACTCAAGTGCCATCCTTTGTGCCCACATGGCCAGGACCTGTGGCCTTTGTGGCAACAAGGGACCACCTCCCCAGGTGACACGGAGCCTTCTTTATGTCAAGGGACAGTGACATTGCTGCTGCCCTAGTACCCCGGGTGCAGGTGGGAGCCAGAATTCTGGGAGCTCAGAGACTGGGGTCTCACTCCCCGCTTCCACACGTGGCTCCAGTGTGCCCTCCCGGTCTGGCTGAGAGAAAAAATTTCAGTATTTTTGCACACCAAAACTATCTCTGGGAAGTTACAAAGTCACTCACAGTTTACTTGGGGATGGGTTTTATTTTTCCTTGTTGAAAGAAGAAACAGGAAGATAGAGAAAGAAGTTAAAGACAAAGCCGGGTGTGGTGGGGTACGCCTATAACCCCAGCACTTGGGAGGCTGAAGCAGGAGGATCACTGTGAGTTTAAGGCCAGCCTGGGCTACATAGCAAGACCCTGCCTCAAACACCAAAAAAAAAAAAAAGACTGTCAAACCCCATACAATACTTAAAATCACACCACAGCCATCAAGGCGGCTTTTATTTTGGATGAATCTATGTATTACATAGGTATTAACGTCCCTCCCCATCATGATTAAAAAAAAAAAAGTACAAAAACCTCTTATCTAATTTCTCAAAAGTCTTAATGAAAAGAACTGCACAGTGCCTCCTTTTCTGGTGCTGCTTTTGAAGAAGGCAGTCTGTCCTTGAGTCCCTGAGATTTCTGCTCCTTCCTGGGGAGGAAATGGACAGTGCTTCTGCTTCCTTCTGATAAATTCCGCACTCAGTCATCACACATTATCATTCCCCACTTGACATCTTCTTAGAAACTAGATTGTTGGATGCACTTTTCATTTGGCAAAAATTCAACGTGGGATGTTTAAGGGTCAGAGCGGCAGTGTTGATGTTCTGCTTTGGAGGAAAAATATAGCCAGACGTGTGCATATCCCACGGACACCAGGGTGGAGGCCGAGGGCACCGCTTGCTTGGAATTCCAGGGTGGTCACCACCAGAGCGCAGAGCGTGGGCCAGAATAGAAATCTGTGAACAGCTGGGCCTTGTCCTTCATCTGAGGGCGTTGGAGCAGACACATGGGAAGCACAGGGAGGGGCAGCGAGGTGAGCAGCACCAAGGCTGGGAGAGAAAGACACATCCGAGTGACACGAGCTCCCGACTCCGGCTCACCCGGACCCCGACCTGTGCAGAGCCAGAGGACGTTCAGAGCCTGTCACTCGGGCTCATCTGGACGCGGGCAGCAGAGGTCTACCCGGACGGGTAGGCCTTGACGATCTTCACATCGTCCACCGGGCGGTCCTGGGAGTTGGTCTCCACCATCCCCACGCGGTTCACCATGCCGATCCCCTGGCACACGCGCCCGAAGATGGTGTGCTTGCCATCCAGCCACTGGGTGGGGGCGAGCGTCAGGAAGAACTGGCTGCCATTGGTGTCCGGCCCTGCGTTGGCCATGGCGAGGATTCCAGCCCCTGGGGAGAAGGGACGGAGGAGACCGTGAATCAGCCTCGAGACGGAGGCTCCAGCCGAGGGCGCCGCACCACCGAGCGCGGGAAGCTCCGAAGCGGCCACGTCTCCACTATGCAGACCAGGGGACCTCACCCTCTCTGTCCTGCACAAGGGTCTTCTCTGCATTGCCAGGACCTCGGCTCCCATAACACCTCCTGCCCAGCTGGCCCCAGGGTCCCCACTATCCACCAGCCGTCGTTTCCAGCTCCCTCCACACCCAGCGCACCCCCGTGCTTGTGAGGACGCTTTTGATGGCCTCTGCTTTATGGCACTGGACGAGTCACTGGAGTCCAGGCCACCCGGACCAGCCCTCGGAGCTCGGAGCATGCTGGGGAGGCACAGCACGGCACCGCTCGGGTGCCCCAGCTTCTGTGGCACCACGCCAGTGCCAGGCAGTCACCTCGGATCCCAGCCAGGACAGCAAGCTGCCCGGGCCACCCCTCCGTCCCACCCGATCCCACACTCACCAGTGAACTTGAGGTCTGGGTGAAGCTCATCTTCAAACTGTTTGCCATAGATGGATGCACCACCGCGACCTGATTAGAAGATGAGAAATGAGCCCACCTGGCCTGCAGCCCTTGCCCAAGCCCAATCAGGGGCCAGGGGTTTTCTGGGTGCAGGAGAGGAAGAGGCAGAGAGAGAGTCCTGCTCCTGCCAGACAGGACGCAAGCGCAGGATCCAGTCGTGAACCACTGGCTTCGTTCAGGTTAACACGCTGCTTTTCCAAGTAAGTTTCCTCCTGCTTCCTAAATTAATACGGGTTTGCTATCAAAAATACAGAAAACGGGGGCCAGGGATTTAGCTCAGTGGTTCCGGCGCCTGCCTCCCAAGCGCAAGGTCCCAAGTTTGATCCCTGGTACCAAAAAAAAATCCTTTCTCTACATTTCAGGCTGCTCCACAATGGCATATGCCACAGCCCATCCTGTAGGAAACCCTGTTCTTGCAGAGGAGTAGGGTGAACCCCAGGGGCCACCTTCCCTGCCTGGGCTGCGCATGCTTCTGCAGAGCTACCGACCAGGTACCGAGCCAGGTCAGAGTGCGGCTTCGAGGTGCTGTGCCTCCTCCCGCCCTTGGCTCTGCCCTCGGCCATCGTGGAGTGCCAGGCTGAAGAGGAGAGCAAGGGGCTGTGGCCAGGTGTGCTGAGCGCTGTCCAGCAGCAAGCCCAGGCCTCTGGCCTCCAGGAAGCCAGGCCCACCCCACAGATGTTGCTATAGACAAGGCTGGGGATGGTAAGGGCTCGGAGGCAGGGAAAAGGCACGGCCCCCCTTTGTCACCAGCCTCAGAACTGGGGTACTGCCACTGCAGCCCAGAAGCTGGCTCCGCAAAGTGTCAGCAAGACAAATACTCCCAATCCAGAGGGGGAGGCCGGAGGAAGGACAGGAGGCATGAGTTTTCTCTTGGTGCAGAGCGAGCTGCAGACAACGCCAAGGCTGTCAGAAAGCTGACGGGGTGCTGATCCAGGATGAGGACAGCTGGGACGGACAGACAGACAGACTTCCGGGCTCTCCGCCCCTCCCGTCTTCTCTGAAGGCCTCATCCAATGCATAGGTGCAGCGGCTCAGACGAGACACAGGGTCAGGACAAACAATGAGTCCCCCTTCCCCACAGGAATCGCATCTCCCTCGATGGCAACCCCAATTCTGGCCAGGACGTGTCCCTCAGCACGCCTCCACGTCCCGCTCCTGCATCTCTCTGCACTGGCTTCTCAGTTCCCTCGGGTCTGCGGGCCCCTCCACTTTGTCCCCCAGCCCTGCGCAGTGTTCCCCTCTCTGACCAGAACCCTGTCCTGCTTCGCTCTCGCAGGAGGGCGGGTCACCCCTGCCTGCCTGCCACTGTGGCCTACACCACCGTGCCGTCCCCCTCATGCTGGCTCAGCAGTCCTGTCACCTCCGTCCTGTCTCAGTGTGAGGCGTGAGCTCCCATGCTGTGTTCTACTCTGCTCCGCCCTGACGCTGTGCACCATTTCCAGTTTACTGGCTGCTTAGCTTTGGTCCTCTGTGAAGAGCCACTTTGTTACGGGTGCTGAGACATCAATCCTTCTCACTTAGTGTTCTGCAAGCACTTTATCACTTCCTTCACTCCTTTAGGAGGTTCTGCTAATGCACAGGAATGTCTGCAGTCAATCTAACTGTTATTTCTCAAAAACAAAAACCTATTTCTTACCCCGACACCCCTCCGATGTCTCTTCCTCCTCCCGCTCACTGTCTGGAAATCTCCCAAAGATGAAGTAGACCGACATCTCCAACGTGGGACAGGAGGGTGGCCCTACAGGATCTCACACTTGGAGCTGCTGGGTCACTTCCGTTTCCAGTTCCCTACTCCTGGACTCTCGGCTCCCTGGAGTCACGAAGGGCCATGTATTGCATTTCAGCAATGACAGGGAAAGAGGAAGACTGAGAAGAAACACGTGGAATACTGGCAGACCTTCAGATAGAGCAGACGGCTGCAGGATTAGACCCCGACTCCCCTCAATTCCCAATGAAGTGAACACAAAACACAGAAAACTTTAAAAGCTAAAGTTCCACCCCGATCAACCACTCTAAAACTTCTAGAAGAATCAGCCAAGGAAGGAACCAGAGGATCCTTCTCTGTGCACTTCCTGAAGGCAATAATCAGACAAGAGTGCCCCACTGGGAATTCTCACAAACACCCTCCAACCTGAGAAGCCATGGAGACGGAGCAGTGAAGGAAACACAGCTAAGGCAGGGCCCTGGGGCAGAGCCCACAGGCCATGGGGCAGCAACCAGGGCTGCCCAGGGGATGGCTCGGAGCCCACATGGGGCTAGAGGGTCAGCACCGGCTAGTAGAGGGGTCCTGAGATCCAGTTTAGGGGCCCCAGAGAGAGAGCCAGAGGCGGGGACCCCAACTCCCTCCTCTTCAGGCCGAGTAAAACGGAGAGAAAGCAACCTAGCCTTCGAATGGGGAGAGAACTGGCCTCACAGAGGTGGGAAGGATGACAGGGAGAAGCCACCACACTGGACCTGACAGAGAGCAGGGAAGGAGGAAAATGCACCTCAAGGGCTCAGTCTGGAGAAAATATAACCGGAGAAGTGGCTTCTTTATGTCCCCAGATACAGATGATTCAGCAGAGACGAGAAGCTAATAAAACAAAAGCTCAAAGGCAAGATAATAAATCAGAGAATAAGGTGAAAAGATTGCAGAGCTAAGGACACAAAGAGATCCACATGACACCAATACAGAGCTAATAAATAAATCAGAGCAATAAAGAGCAGAACAGACACAGCTGAAAATTGAGGAAGGCAGAAGGGAGGGCTGAGATTATTTCAGTGAAGGCAGGAAAAAAAGGGAAAAAAACCTCATCTTGCCCCCGTCTGAAGAAATGTGATCAATAAGGAAGGCAAAGGTGAAGAAACAAAGGAAAATTAGTTTCCTGAAATAGAAAATCTAATAAGTATAGCCAGAGAAAGTCTTCAGAAACAACAGTTTTAAAAATTTCCCTGAATTGAAGGAAACATTAAATCTGGCCACAGTATTTCCCAAAACTGTGCTTAAAACCAAGAGGCGATGGGTCAGAATTCTCTAAACACACTGGAGGGAATGACGGAGGCCTAAGCTCGACATCACCTCCAGTGTGGTCCTGTCAAGCACAAAGGCAGCAGGCGGAAACCCCCATCCCAAGCCAGTTCACAAAGGCACCGCCCAAGGGACCCTGACCTCAGGGTTTAGGGACAAAGCGAGGATAAGCGCGAATCCACTGCAAAGCAGGACTCACACCGAGGTTGAGGTACAGCACAGAAAACAGTACAACCGCCCAGTGCGATGGCACACGCCTGTAACCCTGGGAGGCTGAGGCAGGAGGACTGCAAGTTGAGGCCAGGTTGGGCAACGTGAGGAGACACGGTCACAAAATAAAGAAATCCAAAATGGCTGGGCCTGAGGCTCAGTACAAGGCCCCAGATTCAATCCCGAGCACTATAAACAAACAAAACTGAAAAAACAATAAAACAAACAACAAAAGTTAGGGTGGGAGGCACAGCTGAGTGGCAGAGCAGTTCCCTAGCCCGTGTGAGGACCTGGGTTTGATCCCACACCATAAAAAATGCCCAAAATTAGGATGGGTTAGAATGGGTAGAAGAGTGCTAACTGCCTCATCTTTCACCGCAGAGTCAGTTTTCTGTTAAATATACTCAAAACTAAACATAACTTTAACTTAAAACAATAATATCCACAACATATCCTAGTCTTCTGATTACTTCCATTTAGCCCATTGTCTATCCACCTGCTTACCTAGGTCTCTGGAAACAAAGATGGCCAGAATGAGGACCGCCAAACATTAATGCTGCCATCCCTGAGCAGGAGGAGGTTGCAGGCTCCGCCAACCACGATTAGAAATCTTGGGAAGCTATGCTTCTGGGTGATTTGCGCCCATTTTTTGTATATCTTGTACTCCGAAATGTGTCCGTACACATTAAAGAAACTAACTCTGCTGGCCATAAAGGACACCTGAGAAGCCTGATGTAGTGAGTGGCACATGCTTCTAACCCCAGTGCACTGGAAGGCTGAGGCGGGAAGATCACAATTGTAAGCCAGCCTGGGCAACTGAATGACTTAACAAGACCTTGTCTCCAAATAAAAAATAAAAGAGGCTTGGGGATGTAGCTCTGTGCGAAGGCCCTGGGTTCAAGCTCCAGGTTGAACTCTCAGTACCACAAAAACAGAACCAAAAACCTGAGAATGAGCAAAAAAAAAAAAAAAATCAAGAAGATTCCGAGAAAGAGGTAACTATGCTGCTTAAAGACAAAGAGCAGGGATTAGGAGAGAAAAAGCAAACTGAGAAGCAAGGGTCCTGGACAGGCATCCCAGCAGCTTTGCTAATGAAGCCCCGTGCAGTGGCTCACAGATTCCTAGCTCCAAGGTCACACCCAGCATCTTCCCAGCATCTTCCTGGGCACAGTGTTTCACAGCCACAGGGTGGAGGGCAAACTCCCAACCTCCTCCCCTACACCCCGCGCTCCGCCTCTCCACCTCACTGGCTGCATCAGAAACTCACTGTCACCGGGCCCACTCCCTCCTCTCCCGCCGTCCAACCTGGGGCAGATCCCCGGCTCAGTCTGCCAGGCACAGCTGGAATCCAGCTGCTCATCACCACCTTATGATGATCCCAGGCGGTCCAACCCCATCGTCCCCAGATGGCAGAGGGATTCCTGCCAATCCCAGGACTCATGCCAGGGCCTCTGGTTATTCTCCAAGGAGCAGCCAGGGGAATCTGGGCAGCAGTGGCCAGGTCATGCCCCTCCTTTACTCTGAAAACAAGGGACCCCATTTTATTCGTGCACCCCACGCCCAGCTTCAGTATTCATTAAATACTGAACGGACACAATATTTTATTCTTTTCAAAACACTGGGAATTTTTTTTACTTCTAGTCAAACTATCCCAGGCATCACCACAATGCTGGCAAATTTGCTTTTAGTGAACCATACACAAAAGTTATGAAAACTTGCAAGCCTGGGAGTCAGGGTTCGTTTCTGGTCAAGCCCACATGTGTGTGCAGGGCAGGAAGGAACCGTCACCAGAATCAGTCACCCAGACCCAGGCACGTGGAGGAGGGAGCTCCGGCCACCTCATCACACAGCTGGGAGACAGTGAGACGTCACAGACTAATGGTGGTTGAATGTACCTGTCCCTGTCGGGTCACCTCCCTGGATCATGAAGTCCTTGATGATTCTGTGGAATTTGGTGCCATTGTAATAACCGCGCCGGGCCAACTCAGCGAAGTTCTTACAGGTCTTTGGCGCATGCTTCCAGTACAGCTCCAGCACAATGATTCCCATGCTGTGGGGCAGAGGACAGAGCGGCTCGGTCAGGAGCAAGGTCACAGCACACAGGGACATCAAGGGACTGTTCTGGTACTCTTGTTGCACCTGCTTTTTGTTTTGTTTTGTTTTCCAGTATCAGGGATCGAACTCAGGACCTTGTGCTTGCAAGACAGGCACGGCACCACGGAGCTAAACCCCGGCCCTCACTTGGTTTTTTGAGACAGGGTCTCGCTTTGTAGCTCCACCTGCCCTTAAACTCACTATGTATCCAAAGGCCCTGCGTTCAATTCCCCAGGACCACAGGGAACTAAAGAGGTAGAATTTTGCCATACAAGAAAGTGAGGAAGAGGATGGCCAGGGAGCAGGAACAGCATGAGAACCCCATGCTCTGGTTAAAAAGTAGCAGGGAAAGAACAAAAAGGGAGAGGGAGGGCTGGGGATTTAGCTCAGTGGTTCCAGTGCCTGCCTTGAAATCGAAAGGTCCTGAGTTCGATCCCTAATACCGAAGAAAAAAAAAGGAGAGGGAGAGAGGAAAAAGGAGAGAGGGAGGGAGAGAGAGAGAGAGAGAGAGAGAGAGAGAGAG